CAGCAAGCGCTTCAGGTCCTCCTCAGTTTCAGCAAGCAGGGTTGTGTAATCTGTATAATGTGGGTTGTTGATGAATCTTCCTCCAATCCTGATGCCACATTCCACCTAATATAGCCTAGCCTCGCAGATGATCTGTTCTGCATACAGATGGAAAAGGTATGGAGACAGAATACCTCCCTGGTGGACACCCTTCCTGATTTTGAACCATGCAGTGTCTCCTTGGTCTGTTCTGATGACTGCCTCTTGGTTCAAGTATAGGTTTTGCATAGGCACAATTAAATGTTTTGGGATTCCCATTCTTCTCAGAGTCAGCCACAGGTTGTTGTGAAGCACACAGTCAAAAGTCTCTGCATAGTCAATGAAACAGAGACATTCCTCTGGTACTCTCTGCTTTCTGCAAAGATCCATTTAACATTAGCTAAAAGTTCCCTAGTATCACGGCCTCTTCTAAACCCAGCCTGTACATCTGGCAGTTCTCTGCTGACGTGTTGCTCCAGTCATTTTTTTATCATTTTCAGCAGAATCTTGCTTGCATGTGATAGTAATGATATTGTTTGATAATTTCTGCCCTCTGTCAGGTCACCCTTCTTTGGAATGGGAACAAATACTATCTCTTCCAGTCAGTTGACCAGGTCGTTGTCCTCTAGATTTCTCGGCACAACTTGGTGAGCACATCCAGGGCAGTGTCTGTTTGTTGAAATATGTTAACTGGTATGATGTCAACTCCTGGAACCTTATTTTTTTGCCAATTCTTTCAGAGCAGCTTGAACTTCCTCCTTCTTCACCAAAATTTTACTGTAAGTCTATTCCACACAAATTTTAAAACCATCTCGGGAACATCTTTGAAACCTTGAACACCAATGAATGAAGACCAAAGAACTGTGGGGGGATATCAAGAATATTGCCCATGAAGAATGAAAAAGATCATTACAAAGGCAGAAGAGGAAGAAAAGACCAAGATGGATGTCAGATGAGACTCTGAATATTGTATTAGAGCACCAAGAAGCCAAAGCTAAAGGAAGAAATCAAGAAATTAAAGAGTTGAAGAGAAAATTCCAAAGGGCAGCTCGGGAAGACAAAGCAATGTATTATAATGAAATGTGCAAAGAGCTAGAGTCAGAAAATCAAAAGGGCCGAACTTGCTCAGCATTTCTTAAGCTGACGGAATTGAAAAACAAATTCAAGTCACTAGTAGCAATACTTAAGGAGGTTTTGGGCAGAATGTTCAATGATCCAAGAAGCATTAAAAGAAGATGGAAGGAGTACACAGAGTCACTGTGCCAGAAGGAATTGGCTGACACAGAAGAATTTAATGAACTGAGGTTTATCATTTAAAAAGACAAGGGTGTTAACATCCTATCCCTTTAAAGGCAAGCCTATAAACAGTTTCTCTGTACCCAAGTTTCCATGTCTTGTGTCATGTAATCCTGTAATCCTAGACACAACTGCAGTCACTGCAGACTAATAGTGTAACATTCCTTCAGAAGACATGCTTGTATCACTGCAGTGATAGTTTCCTGGAATTCTTTACCTTCTTCCTTATAGGAATGTATAAGCTGTTTATTTCTTTGCAACTGACACAGTTACCTCACAGGGTTATTACAGAATTAAATGCAACAATGTGACTATAATCTTTAATACAGAAGTTGATACATAACACTCAATAATGTGGCTATTCATTATTAATAGGAACTGCAGAAGCTATTAAGTGTCACAGATGATGTAAAAAAGCCTCTGTATACAAGTGAAAAACCCAGGTTTATCAGCCCCAGAGTAACCAAGGCTAGCCCCCAAATCACTAATCCTTTTCTCCAAAGCTTTCATTCCTAAACCTGTAAAACATATACTTCAGGGCTCAACCAAAAAGAACTCAATAAAATATCAAACAATAGGCTTATCTTGTGCTATTTTACATAAATAAGAAAGCAAAAAGAGTACAAGGTATAAGGAGTTGCCTAAGATCCAGAAGAGGATAATCCATCTAACTGAAATTCATTGTCGGCCCTGCTGTCTGGACTGGCCACTCACCAGCTGACCCACCTGCACAGGGACCGATCCAGAAGGGAGAGTGTCACTGCTATGAAGAAAGTGGTTCAGCAGTGGCTGCTTGAAGCTGGACTCACCATGTGAAGGTTTCCCAGGAGGCTGCATATTTGAAATGATTCCATCTGCAGAACGCTCAACATGACTCCCTGCTGACTGGAGTATCTTCAAGTACAAATCCCTTTAGACTCCAGAAAGTCTGTTCATTTTTGTAGTGGAATGAACCTTTCAAAGGTTTCCTAAACCACTTTTATTCAAAGGAGAGCTAAATATGAAGCCAGTACAAAAGCTTATCCCTACAACATATGTGCCATAATACACAGATTTTTACATTTGTTAATATCTATCTCTCTGAATTTTCATGAGTTTCTATTTCACAAGGGTAGTAATACACTAGCAGCCACATATAATGAAGTTCTTGATATTAAAAAAGTTCATTGTTGCTTCCTGGATTGGCAGAAGTATGTAGGAGGCTGTTGTATTACAACTTCTTCAGTATAACCCCCAAAATGAGGCCACAGTGAGTTCAGGATATAAACAATTTTGAAAAGGAGTTGAATAATAGCATTGTCAGATGACCTTGGAGCAGGGGACCGATTCAGAAAAAGGATTAAGAAGAACTTCTCTGAGGACTTCTCTAGAATAGAGAGGCCATTGAGGAGACCATACTTCCTATATTTAAGTGCCAATGCCGTCATCCAGACCAGGAGTGAGAAGGAGTAAAATGTGAGAATAGATACTAAACTGCATTTTGAAGGTCGATAAACTAAATTAACTTGGTGACTGGATGCAAAGAACAGAAATACAAAAATGAGTCCAAACAGAAAGTGTGGTAGGTTAAGGAATGCTGTTACCAAGGCCACCAAAAGGCAGAGAACCTTTTCTGAAGGGGTAAGTCTGAGTTCATTTCCAGATTTCTCAAACTTGAGGTAACTAGGGGATATTTAAATGGAAATGTCCAATAGGCAGCTGCTAAGAGATTGAGAGTGTTCACAGCTTCACTTTGCTCGGCTCCACAGTTAACACTCTTGGTACCAGCAGTCAGGAAATCAAAAAGCATATCGCGATGGGAAAGGTCTGCCGTTAGGGACCTCTCAAACGTACTCAGGAGCAACAGTGTCTCTCTGGAGACTAAGGTGCGCCTGATACAGGTCATGGTATTTGCAATCGCTTGTTATGCATCAGAGAGCTGGACAATGACTAGGGAGGACAGAAGGAGAGTGGATGCTTTTGAGCTGTGGTGCTGGAGAAGGGTACTGAATGTACCCTGGACTGCCAAGAAAACAAACAGATCCATCTTGGAGAGGATTAAACCAAGCTGCTCCTTGGAGGCAAGGATTCTGGGGCTTCGTCTGACATACTTTGGACATGTTGCCAGGAGGGACGGGTCCTTGGAGAGGGACATCATGCTTGGGAGGGTGGAGGGACAGCGCAGGAGTGGAAGACCCTCTATGAGATGGATTGATTCGGTGACTGGGCTAATCGGGATGGGTGTGTCAGAGGCGGTGCGGTTGGCGCAGGATAGAGCAGGGTTTAGAGCTGTTGTGCATAGGGTCGCTATGAGTCGGAAACGACTCGATGGCACATAACAACAACAACAACAATACAGAAATGGAGGTCTGATCAGTGGAAAAAGTTTGAAATTGAGATATTAAGGTTGTCACCACTAAGGTAAGCTCTGGAGTTATTAAAAAACCAAACCAAAACACACAACAACTCCTATCTTAGAAAGTGCTCTATGTCTAAGAGATCTGGCGAGAAGTGATAGAGAACAGATCCAGAGAAAGTGAGAAAAGTGGGGCTCAGAAGTATTTGGAGAGTTAGACTAGTGTCATGCAACAAAATCAAGGGAAGATGTCTTCTCTCAGCAAAGGTTTCTAAGTGGTAATATCAGAAACAGAAAGCTTTCAATAGTAAAGTATGCTGTAATTTGAGGAGCCAGTATAAATTAGTTCAGAGCTATTCTGACTGGCCTTTCTAAGTCAGTGTAGTGAGACTTAACTAAGGATAACTAAGAGCAAGATGCAGTGCAGCAAATGAATTACTAAGGTCCTTCTCTTTCTAAGCATGTCTTTCTGACTTCCCATAATGACTGCCTGGGATTATGTAAATAAGGTGTTTTCATCTCATCAAGGGGATTAGACAGTTTGTTGCTAATGTGAAGAAGGTGTGTGGAATTCTTGTAGGGGTGGAATTATGTAGATAAAGTGAACAGAACCCTAACTAGAGAACTTGTCAGTTTTGTTATTCTGCTAGGCTTAAAGGGAGACTTGGGGAAGAGAGAGGATCTCTAACATAGAAGGCAGCTTGAGACAACACCACAGCAGTAGCTAGAACTACAGTGCAAGCTGGAAGGAACAAGAACAGTAGGTGCTGACTGCCATGGGGCAGGCAGATATGTGGACCAAAGAGTTGTAACATTTGCTCTAGAAGGCCCTGGGCAGGGTACAGCAAAGGAGGGTGAGAGGATGCTGTCTTCATTAAACACTATAACCTGAGTTTCTTAGAAGTGTGGAGGGTCAGGAAAAGAAAGACCATTAACAAGATGGATTGACATAGTGATGGCAGCAATGGCTCCAATGTATCAGAGATGGCATGGGTGGCATAGACTAGGACAAGGTGCAGATCTGTTATTTATAGGGTGGCTATGAATCATACCCAACTCGATGGCACCTAAGAACACCACTACTTCCCTAATAAAACACTTGAGTGTACAGTTTGTGAGTTTTAAGAGATGTGACAATGAATTAATGAACCCAGAGAGAGAGTGCTGAATGAGGGGAGGAGTAGTTGTTATTAAAGATAATAGAGTGGTACAGTAGTTTTAAAAAGTGGACACTCAGGACATTTTTAGTTTTTGCCTCATAAGAACCAGCTTTATGTTAGTTACTCATTTATGGATGTCTATTAATCCTGTGTCAGAGGACAAGTTGGAAGGACATAGCTAGGGGTCTTACCGAGCTCATCCCAGAGTTGCCTACATTTGTCTGTCATGCTTGTTCCTTGCTGCCTCCAGAGTGTGAGACGTGGGTCAGCCATGAACTGCTCAGTTATAAGTGTCAACATTCTGGCTCCATTGGAATCTCTCATCCGCAGCATCTCTCGAACCTGCCACATAAGGTGGGGCATAGAGTGGGTGACTACACATCAATTTAAAAAAGTATACGGAAAGGAAGAACTTCAGAGACAAGAGAAAATTAAATATCTGAGCATAAAATATCCCAAAGACCAGAAAGAAGGCTTCTTGCTTTCTGCACACATCAAGGAAAATCCTGCTCTTCTTCACTCTCCCCAGTGATTTCCTTTACCCCCACTTTCCACCCTTTCTCCATTTTATATGCATCTTACTAGTTATTCTTCTATTTTTCACAATAATAGTCTCATTCTCCTTATGAGACGGAGTTAATTCACACAGCATAAATGCTCTCTGATCAAAAGTCTGTTGGGTCCTACCTGAAAGTCTCTTGTTTGGAGCTCCTTTCTGAAGCAGCAGGATACTAGAAGGTAAGTTGTTTTGTTTTAATTTCTTTAACAATCAGGTGTAAACTCTTTGGTAGTTTTTGTGAAGACTGATTTGCCATTAGAATTACAAACAAAATTGGAAGTTTGTTGTTTTGGGGGAGAACATTGTTCTAATTGGCACAGCACTTGTCTGTCAATTTGCTGTCTTGAGATAACTTTGCTGTGATATTGAAAGCTGTGTCACTGTGTGTCAAATGCCATCAGGGTTACCCATGGTGGACAGGTTTTAGTTGAACTCCTAGATTAAAACAGACTAGGAAGCAGAACTGGCCATGCACTTTTAAAATAACAGTCCTTTGAAAATCCTATGAACACTAGAGGAACATGGATAGTTATAGTAGTGTAGTGGTAGAGGCCATACTGGAAGTCAGTTGAAATGAAGAAAAACAATGGCAAAAATAATTTAATATTTGGAACATTGAATGTACATAGCTTGAATGTTGAAAATCTGGATGATGAGGCTTTGCCTCACATACTTCAGGCATGTTGCTAGAAGAGGCTACTCCTTAGAAAGGGAAATGATGCTTGGCACGGTGGAGGGTTGGCAAGGGAGAGGAAGACCCTAAACCAGGTGTATTGACATGATAACTGCTGCAATGGTCTCTAGTGTGTCAGGAAATGTGAAGATGGTACAGGACAGTATGAGGTTTAGATCTGCTTTTTATAGGGTCACTATGCGTTGCACTCTACTTGATGGCACACAACAACAACAACAACAATGTTCTCTATACTGCCTCATGCTATATAGTATTTTGCTAAATTTTAAGATACAATGGGGACTTGAAAAGACAAGGGTATTATAGGCATAGATCAACTGTAATTAATTTTATAAAACACAATGTATATGAAAGATAGTGTGAAACACAATGTACATAGAAGAAAAACACAATGTATATAAATTTTGCATGCAAAAAAAAATAAGAAATAAAAAACAAAGGAAGAAAAAAAGAAGAAAACGCCTGCTATGAGAGCATCCAGCTCTGAAATATTTAGTTTCTTCAAGGACACCACTGAGAACTGTAGCCTTTAAGACCTCATCTAGTATTTAAGGTCAAAGCAAAGAGAAGGTAGCTTCCTTACTAACCATCCCCACTTGCCTGAAAAGCCATGCTAACTCACATAGAGAACAGAACAGAACATGAGGGTGTAGTAGGTTCCTGCATGCCATTTGCTCAGGTCAGCTCTAATTAGTTCTGCCACTAGGTTTCAAGCACAGAGAACAGCTAGGTCAGAAGAACTGGTTACAGTTCATCAAGTCAGAAGTTAGTTACATCGAATGAAGTCTAGTTTATGTAAGAAAGTGCTGTGGTGTTTTTGGGGTTTTGTTTTTAAATCTCTTCAAATCTTACCTTGGCAAACATTGAGTTGAGTTGCTTTCCAGAGCCATAGTAGCCACCCTGGGAGAGAAAGAGCTTCACTTGTTCTTTCACTTGTTCTTCATCCAAATGCCAACAGTTCTCATCATCAATGCTGGCTCCAGCTGTGGGGTCAGGGGCACCTGTGAAGAATGGGAAATGTGAGTCCCTCGAGTTCATGTCCTACAAGGTAGCAGGATGGTCAGTTGGTGCCCAAATTCAAATACTGGTGAGTATTTTCCTTTAATAAGAGTTTTGTCAACTGCATAGTCCTAGATAAAAACAATATTTAATGTGGGCTTTATGTTCGCTTAGGTATCAGCTATACTCTTTTCTAAGTTCAAAAATACCACCTTAGGGGGGATAAAAACCCTGAAAGGTGATACATGTAAGTATTTTTTTTCTAGGAATTTGAAATGTCTTTTTTTTTACAGAGTTCAAACATATTACATTACAGTTCAAACATATACACATTATTTTTTTTAAGTTGTCAAGGATTTTATTTTACTTGCCTCCACAATCAATGCCCATCAAAGCAGTAATCAAGAGATCAGATAACTTACCAAACATATACACATTGTTTTAAAAAACAAAAAAGGCTTTCTTAGAACACAAAAAATAAATCCTGTTTTCAAAGTTCACTTTAAAACTATAGCTTCCAAATGGATCTAATACTTCTGGTGTAGTCCATAGGCAGTTGCACTCTAAACCCAAAGGCCTCTCAAGGGGTACAATCCACCAGAGCCCCACTGAAGAAAGATGAGCCATCTCCTGTTGCAATCCACGGTTCTGGAAACCCAAAGGACGGTAGGAGTCAGTTCTGACTCAACAGTAATGAGAGAAAGAAACTTCCAGAAGTCTGTACCCTTAAGCACAGGCAGAGTTGCAAACAGGATGATAAAACTTTATAAATTTACAGTCAAACTAGTTCTCATATCTGCACTCATCTCTACAAAACCTCTTAATGTACTACAGTAGTTGGTACACATGTCTCCTATCTACTTGCTCATGTTGGAATCCCTAGAACCGGTATTGTGACAGGCACTCGGGAAATTTTGGTGGTGGAAAACTGAATCTCTTGTTTCTGACTCTCTGTTTCTCTTACAGTCAGAGCCCTGTGCCAAATTTTTAGAACCCTGTCTCCAAGTGACAATAAATCATTAGTCAACACTCTTTAGGTATTGTCATATATAAGGGTACAAATTCGTGTCTTGTTTTAATCAATCTTTCTTTCTTCTTATGTCCCTCTGTCAAAGTTTGGCTTACATGAGATTCAGTTCTACACCTGAATTGGGAGGGTTCAGTTACTTGTTCATTTCACACTACTTAACACATATGATCCAGCAGGTTACAGCACCCATTACATTGCTGTTGTTGTTGTTTTGTTGTCGAGTCAGAACCAACTCATAGCTGAATCTCCAGCAGTTTTCAGAGGCAGTAAATCACATGGGAGGAGATTGTCCAACCTCTCCTGAGGAGCAGCTGAGGGATTCAAACCCCATGCCTTTGAGATGGCAGTGAAGCTTCTTACCACTAGGCCACCAAAGCTCCCTACTATATTGCTAATTTTCTTTAAATGTTATATTCTAAATATTGACCTAACCCTATTACGTCCTTGCTCAAAAGCTTTCAAAGATGCACTGTTGTTAAGTGCCTTGAAGTCAGAACTGCTATGCAGGTGACCCTCCAGTAAGGTTTTCAGAGGCTGTAAATTGCATAGAAGGAGACTGCTCATCTTTCTCCTACATAGTGTTTGGTGGTTTGAACCATTGTACCTTTGAGCTGGCAGCACAACTCCTTACCACTAATCTACTAGAGCTCCCTAATGAGGTGCTATTCCCACTAAATTAAGTCTGACTGCCTCAGTGTGGCTCTCTATGCTTATGCCCTAATTTGCGTTTCTACCTTTATCTCTCCTGTTCTTACACTGTTCTTCAGCTAGAAACGCAGTGTTCCCAGAAGTCAATTTATTATTTTATTTTTTTGTGTGTGTACTGTCAAATCGAATCTGACTGGTACAGGAGAAAATTGTTCCTCCTTCTCCAGCAGAGCATCTGGTGGATTCGAACTGCTCACCTCTTGGGATTGCAGTGCAGCTTCTTGCCACTAGGCCACCAGAGCTTGCCAAGTCAATTTATTTTTATGATTTATGTTTTTTCTTTGCTTCACACCTTCTTCCTTGAAATTGTTATTTATCCGACCACCAACAGTTTTTATTGTCAGTATCACATCAGCTGTAGAATCAGGGCCACAATTGAGAAATGGAAACCCTAAGTAAATGAAGAGTAAGTACATGAAGAGGATGACACTGCCACATTCACTGCTGCATGATGCGTTGTGCTGTTAACCAGAAGACTGGCTGTTTAAATCTACCAACCACTCTATGGCAGAAAGGTGGGCAATTCACTCCTGTTAAGACTTACAGCCTTGGAAACCCAAGGGAAAGTTGCTGTGAATGGGATAGTTTTTTGTTTTAATATTAAAGGAAGTGAATAGGAAAGAGTATTCCATGGACAGGAAATTTTGTGTGAAAATGTAGGCAAAAGTTGAAACACTGAAAGATTTATAAGATTTGATAAGAAATCTGAGCTTTATCTTAAGAGCAACAGAAAGCCACAAAGGTGCTGTGACAAAATTGGCAGCTGTACAAGTCACTGAATAGTTGTGAAAAAAATGAGGGGAGTAACAGTGGCTAGAGAAAGCTCAGCTCGAAGACTGTGGTAGCAATCTACATGAAAGAGTACAGTGACTGGGTTTAGGGTGAGGGTAGTGTCCTTAAGTCTAGAAATTTTAAAAAATACATTTAGGAGGTAAAATGAACAGGACTTGGAATGCATACAAAATGTAAGAAAGATCTGAAGGGTTACTACTAGGTTTCTATCTTGAATTAATGCTACTTACTGATAAAGTGAATCCAGGAGGTATCTTAACTTTCTTAGTCCAGAATAACAGAAATACCACAAACAGGCAACTTTAACAAACAGATATTTATATTCTCAAAGTTTGGGAGGCTCAAAGTCCAAATCCAGAATGCTGGCTCTAGAGGAAGGCTCTATTTGCACTAAGGGGAAATCTTTGCCCCAGTTTCACTTCCTCAATCCCTTACTGTTCTTTTCACACTGGCCAATTTTTTTAGTCTCTCTATTACAACAAGGAACTCTGAAAATATCATACGGAGAAAGAGCACCCTATATTAATACAACCTCATTAACATTGTTGTTGTTGTTGTTATGTGCCATTGAATCATTTGCGACTCATAGTGACCCAAACATGATGTCCCTCTCCAAGGACCAGTCCCTCCTTGCAACATGCTCAAAGTATGTCAGATGAAGCTTCAGAATCCTTGACTCCAGGGAACATTCTTGCTTCACCCTCTCCAGGACAAACCTGTTTGTTCTCCTAGCAGTCCATG